TTAGTGTTGATTATGATAGAAGTCATACAATGTCTATCAACAATGTTTTGTCTAACACTGTTGAAAAAATCAATTTTGCTCCCGACCCTTTTGTTAGTGGTTTTGTTAATGTATTACCAATGAAAAATATTTACTTAACCAGTGATAGTTTAACTAATGGAAACCAATTAGCACCTTATGGAGTTGCTCGTGTATTGAAGAAAATTCCTATTACTGCAGGGTTTGGAAATGTAATCTATGATAATGAGATTTTAATGAACGACGCTAATGATGTTTCAATGAGACATTTAAGACGCTTACATTTCAAATATGTTGATAGTTTTGGTAAAACTGTAGATTTACACGGGGCGGACTCGTCCTTCTCCCTTACCTTTGTTGAGGGTTAAGTATTTAATATGTATTTCTATATAATTAATTCTATATAGAAATATATATAGATGAAAGATATAACAGTTGTTGATGTAAATGAAGGTGATAAACAAGTTGAACGCGAAGCCTTCGCGTTGCTACGCGAACCAGTGGAAGAGAAACCAGAAGAACCTAATGAAGAACCAAGGGAAGAAATAAGGGAAGAACCCAAAGAAGAACCGAAAGAAGAGCAAGTAGAACCGCCTAAACCAAAGAAAGAATATAAAACAAGACAAGTAAATATTGAAAGAGTTGTATGTCCTGATTGTAAAGTAGAGATGAGTAAGAAATCATTAAAATATAGTCATGTATGTAAAGGCGAACGTAAAAAAGATGTTGATTTAAATAAACCAGTTAAAAAGCGAATATTGCATCCAACGCAAGTAGAAGAGTTTAAAGAAGATGTATATGAAAAAGTTAAAGATAATATTCCAAAAGTGGATGAACAAGAAATAGAAAGAAGAGTTGAAGAACGATTGAAAAAACATTTAGACACAACAGCTAATAAAGTATTTGAAACTGCAAAAGATAGATATATTAATATGAAGGTAGAGCGAGATAATAAAAATAAACAGAAAATTAATAATTTAGCAAGTAAAATTATTTAAATCTAATTATTGTTATATGAACAAGTCAGATTTTGAAAATATAACATCAACATTTACAAAGAATGGCAAAGCAGTTAAATTACCAACATCAAACAAATTTTATAATCCCATAACAAAACCAAATAAAAAATATAAATCTAGCGTCCATTACTATTACGAAGGAGACAACAAAGCACATCAACCAAATTATACATATCTGAAAGAAATGAAGGAACAGTTAGAATTTCATAACGCTAAAAAAGATTACGCTATATTTCAAAATAGAAGAAGATATCAAGATGAAGCACAGACATATTTTAATGAAATCCAAAGGTTAGAAGGTGAAAAAATAAGACATCATCCATCAAGTGAAACTGGTAAAAACTATTCGGAAATGATTAAGAAGAAAAAGGATATAATCAATCAATTAAGAAAGAATTTTAAGTTTGAATAAATTAATTAGATTAATAATTTTATAATCTAATTAATTACATATAATGAGATTAGACCATATGAAAACATTAAAATCACAGTTAAGATTAAGACCGTCGTATAATGAACTCATCAAGGAAATTACAAAGGAAGAATATAAAAATAAGAATATAAGAGATGTAATAGACAGGAATGCTTAATATTTTCGTGACAGTCCGTTAGGAACAGTTTATGATAACAATACCGTAGATTTGAGACAACAACACTTTCAAAAAATATTAGAACAACCTAAAACAGTCCCGCATTTTGATATGGCAAAGGACGATGAAATGGATGATTTAAGAGACGGAGCAATACAAACACTAAGTGCCACAATGGACAATTCAGAAGAACAACACGAACAACAAATAAGTCAAGTTTCAAGAAGAGTTAGTAGCGAACAAATAGCAGACTTACACGAACGAGCACAACGGGCAAGACAATTAGAAGGACAAGAGGGGAGAAGACCAAGTATCCAATCAATGGTAACTGCAAAATCAAGCGATACTGAAGACTTACCACCATTAGAACCGATTATGACAGAAGACGAAGCAGTTAAAGAATATGTTAAAGGCCTTGTAAATCGTAAATTCAAAGATGTAGCAAAGAAAGTGGCATCATCAAGAGAGCAAACACGGGACAACGCTGACAGTTCATCCACAGTCCAACAAAGACAAACAAGAACACATAAGGAAACCATTGACTATTCAACTGATATAAACCATTGGAGAGGAAGCACAGTAAAAGAAGAAGACATATTATTTCAATTACATTTAAGAGGAACAGGACTTACTGAAGTACAGGAACAACAATATTCAAACACAAAGAAAAAGGGGAAAGGTAAAAAGGAAACTGGTAGAACTTTTTTAGTTGGACTGGTGGAGCAACTTATAAACAGTGGAAAATGGACGACGAAAGTAAATGATGAATTGTTAAGAAAAAGAATGAACGATTGGAGAGGTATGAAAGGAAAGGGCAAAGCAACAAAAGATTAATAACTCATTTATATAATTTATCAATAATTATATAAAATGATTAACGACCTCAAACACGAGTTAAGGAAACGCCCTACTTATGATGAAATGCTTAAACAAGCAATCACAAGCAAACTAAAAACAACAGTTATGCTGAAGAAATACAAGAAAGGAATGTTATTGAATAATTTTGATTTTGATGAATTAGATTTAATGAATTATAAAAATAAAGAACGATATATGAATGCAGAAGTTATGATGGCAGACAAGGCAACACAAACACTTAACAAAGAAAACAAGGCAACTCAAACAGACCTACCAAATGATAAGGCGACGCAAACTTATAATTTTGATGATATGACAAAGATTTTAGGTGGGTCTTCAAAGAAGTTTAAGAGCAAACTGATGAACAAGGCAGAAGCAGAAGCATTAGCATTTACATATGACCCTGATTTAAATGATGATGACGATGATGATGATGATAAAAAAGATGATGATAATGATAAATACAGAAAGAAACTATTTATGTTGATGAGGACTATAGATTTGATGTTGAGGTCAGGTTTTAGTATAGGGCAGATAGTGGCACATTTAACATATCACACTACATTAACTACAATTCAAGGTTCAGAGTTGCTGGTTAATTTGACAATGAATTCATTAGTATCATCTTATGATATAGCAAGTGCCATAATGAATTGGATGAATACAAATGTTAGTGAAGAAGTTGAGTTAAACACAGAACCCCCTGTTAGTGTTCATAGTTCTCCGCCTATCACTGTTAATAGTTCTTCAACGCATACTGTTCATTCATCATCATCAGAAGAAAATGCTAATTATGAAATAGCACCGCCTACTGACATCCCTGTTCCTACTGATGCTGAAAGTGAAAATGATGAAACTGAAAACCAAAATACCAACCCTTCAAAAACAAAAACTACTTAAAGAAATGAGACCATAATATAATAATAAAGTAATGGAAGGTATGACAGTATTAACCACAGAAAAGGTAGAGAAGTTGATGGAGAAAAGACACAAAGAAAGTGACGAAGTTAAAAGGTTCATTAAGTTAAATCCTTATCCATCTTATGAAGAAATGAACGATGTAATTGAAACAATGAAAGAATTAGGTTATCCAGAAAAGCCATTAATACAATGTTATCATCGTGATTTGTTAATGAAGACTTACAATGAACTATACGATGAAGGAAAGGTAATTGAATATGGAGCAGAGTTAAACAATATAACATCTACAGGCACTTATAAAAATCTTGAAGATATGAAGTTCTTTTTTAGGAGAACAAATTTTCTAATTCTTCAAGCAATCATTAAGTTTAATTATGATAAGCATAAGAGAAGAAATAAACATATTGACAAAGAAACAGTATTAGGTTGGTCAAGAAAAATAGAACAGTGGTGGAATGATATTGGTGAAAACTTTGGTATTTATGCTGATTTTAGCAATTTGAAACCATAAGCAATATTTGTTCAGTTTATTCATATTAACAACTTATAATATGATTAAACCATTCTATCCCCCAGAAAGCCTTAAAATGGTCTGAAACCTGAACCTTGAAAATGATGAAACTGAAAACCAAAATACCAACCCTGCAAAAACTAAAAAGACTTAAAGAAATGACCCCTTAATATATTAAGAGAAAAAAATGAATAAGTGTATCAGAGAAGAACTGACAAAAGAAATTGTAAAATGTCGTGCTTGCAAGATATTCATCAACAAAGTTAAAAAAAGCAAATGATATATTACCTGACTGTATCATTGATAATATTTTGAGTTTTGTAAGTTGTAAAAGATGCACCATTACAAAACATTTAATGAAAAACGAACCTGACAATTTAAAAGAAATGGATAAGTGGATTTGGTATATGACGAGGTTAAATAAATGTCCAACGAAAAAGTCATTGCGGTCAATATTTACAACAGGTTTAGACAAAACCTTAAAAGAGTATGGATATGATAATACGTTAGTTTTATATTATGATAGTGCTTTCAAGTTTCATTATAATTTACTTTATCATAACAATGATGCTTATGTGTCTTGTAGGGATTTTAGTGTTTCAATGTGTAGAGGTTTTCTGAAGGCGTTGAAGTGGCAATATATAGAAAACAGAGACAAGGTCGCTTATAAAAACATTTTTGATAATGAGTTTTATCATAAATTTGTTTGTCATTTGTTAGAAAAGAAAAGGTTGATTATAGACTGGTTTAATTATAGAGGTTCTGTTGATAGTGATTATGATTAAGTTTATTCATATTATTTAACTATAATATGGTTAAACACTTGTAACCCCCAGAAAGCTTAAAAATGGTCTGAAACCTGAAACTTGAAAATGTTAAATTGTTAGACTGTTATTAAATGAAAAAATTGTAAAAAAATGTTGAGAAAATTTAGGAAAATTCCCCAGAATCCCCCTTGGTGTTTTGAACAAAGTTGTTTGCTTGTTGAAAATGAACCCTGAACCCTGAAACCCTACCTTGAAAATTCCCTACCCCAGGAGCCCCCTATTACTAATTTTTCCCCCACCTCCCCCAAGGTCGCGCCTGGGTGTGGCCCAGCTCCAAGCGCCCCAGCCGCGCCATGGCCCTCAGGCGCCGCAGCTCCCCGCTGACGCCGCAGCGCCCCAGGCCGAGGCTCTCCAGGCGCCGCTGGGCTTCGAGCCCCGCCAGGTCACCGGACACCCGCCTCGACGACCCAAAACGTTCGATTCGGGCGACCCACGCGGCAAAAACGCGGTTTTTGCCGTGCTTCGAAGTGGCCATGGAAGGCCAAACCATGTACAAGTGCAAAGAAAGATGGCGTTCAAGCAGATTGAGTCACCATTGATGCCTTTGCTCAGTGTCGCAACATTGGCCCCCAGCAGGCTGGGTCTCCTTGCGGCTTCCCCTTTCAACCATTTCTCAAAAAGGTGTCATAAAAACACGCCAATGAGACCACTTCCCCAAAGGTGCATGAGAAAACAGACAGGCTCCATCACCACAACCGCGGCCCAGGTGCGTCCCATCCAGGCGCAGGCCCTTCAGCTTGGCGGAGGTGTTGAAAGCGCCCAAGGGCCCCGCCACGGAGGTTTTGGCCAAGTCCAGCTGCAGCAAGGTCTCCAGGTGCAGCGCCGCAATGGAGCCCTCCACCTACCAGTCACACGTTAAAAACGTCCGATCTGCAACTCGATCTCATCTGAGTCATAATCATAACCCCGGTGTTAAAATGGTCGTAATCCCAGAACCATGCAAAGGATTAAGAAGGCAGATATCCGCAGCTATTTATCGTTGGGAGCATCCCTTGCTAACCTTCATCTACCCGGGTTTTGATTGTGGCTCATCGGACGTTGGGTTCCCTTTCCTTTGGCTTCAAACCAGGAAAAACCTCAGGAAAGGCTCTGACAACCTTGGGGGCGCTCCAAATGTTTCTCAAACTGTGGATTCCGGAAAAAGCGTACCAATTCAAGAAGTCTGCGCAGAATCTCCTAAACTATTCCTCGCGAGGGGATATGGTCGGGAAAAGATGCACGCACAACAGCCAACACAAATACAACACGCCAATCAATCACTCTATTGCGATGATTTTCTGATTGCTCCAAGAACTCCTCCAAAACCGCTTCAAACTGGCCAAGAAAAGCTGCACCACAGTCGCCGGCGTCCTTGGCCCATTGGCTCGTGCGTGCCTCTCTTGCACCAAAAAGCCATCCCAGAAAACCATGGCGCCACAACCAAAAAGACCAAGACCTCCCCAAAAAGAACAACTGCACAAAGACCCCTCCCCCCCATTTTCCCTTTTGTTAAGAAGGAAAAACTGCACAAAGATCCCCCCCGGCCCAAAAAAAACCTGCACCAAACAGACGAGACGCCGGCGCCCACCCGAAGCCCGACGGAAAACTTCATTGTCTCGCCTCAGTGGAGGCCAGGTCGAGGCGCGTGAGCTGGTGCTGGCTGAGCCCTTTCCTCGGGGTAGGGGCGCTTGGGCCAAAGCGCTTTGGGGGCCTCAAAAAGCGCCTGGGGCGTCAAAAAGCGCCTGGGGCCAGAAAAGGGTTCGTCAAAACGCGCCTTAGGGCCTCGGAAACCCAAGGAAGGAGCAGAAACAAGCGCGTTTGGCCGATCCACGCGACTGAAGTCGCAGTAGCGCTTTGCTCGCCAACGGAAGGACGGCACTGTCACACTGCTTGCTTGAATACGCAGCTTTCCTGCATCACCAGAAAAGGCCCCAATTGGAAGGATGGAACAAACAAAAACCAGAAAAGGGACATGGGGCCATGCACCGAAAGGCGCTACATTTGGACCTAACATGTCCAACACATCGCCCATATCCCAGGCTTCAGAGAGCCCCGCTTCCCTCGACCCCACGCCCGGAACCCGCGAGCGAGGCTCAGATCCCCGGCCACCTTGGTCCGGCGCAGCATCAGCTTCGTCAACTGATCCCCCGAAGCGAAGACATCCAGGGACCCGTGCACCTGGTGTTCCAATTCTGGAACCTTCGCAACCCTTTCGGTGTCTTGGGGAACGGGACCAATGAGGTCAAGGATCCTTTGAATTGAAAGCACCATGGAAAAGCCAATGCCCATTTTCGGGCGCAAAATGAAAGGGTCCCCGTTTTCGGAGGAGGGCATCCTGTTTTGCTAGAAAGAAAGCTCTCATCCCAGGACCCTTTTGGAGGGTACTGTGAGAGTGGTCACAGCGAAGGCCCATGTTCCCCGCCGCAACCATTGGTTTTTTCACGCCGAAGCGGAGAAACAAGCTGCCTGATGGTGGCACCCTCGGCACTTGGTGCCTTTTCTGGAGTCATTACCCTTTTCGCGTTGGATCTGCAGAATCCAAGCAAAAGGAAAACCACCTCGGCTACTCTTTGCTTCTTCTTTTTGGGGGGATCCCCCATTTGAGAGAGAGAGAGAGAGAGACACACCCTAGTTGTTGTTCTTTCTTTTCATTCCACACCCCCCGTCTGGGAAGTTGCGCCTGGGTCAACTCCAAATCCAAGACGCGAAGCCCACAGCTCCTCACGGGGCGGCTCCCATCCGAATGGGCGGTCGTGTTTCCGGTGCATTTCCCGTGCAATACCAACCCAGAAAGGGTTGGTACCCTCAAAACTTCCAACAGGACAGTTGGTTGGGGAGGTGGGGTACGCCATTCAGTGGAAGTTGTTGTACATGCCCTCGGCCAGGCTTTGTTCAAGCGTGCCCCAGTGTTTACAGTGCTTTCCACGCGCGGAAGGTCCTGGGCTGAAATGGCCGCCAGGATTTTCTTTCAGGTTCCCCAACGAACCAACCCCCCCCCCCCCAACCACCCCCCGGGTGCCCAGAGTGCGAAGATTTGGGGACGACGGGTGCCAGGGGTATGGGGTGGTCATGGCGCTAAAAAAAAGAAAAGAGGGAAAAACAGGGGTGCCAACACAACCCCCTTCCTCCCTCCCCGGCCCCCGGCCTCTGCTGGCACTTGCGGATCACCGGGCCCAGAGCCTGCAGGTTGCCGGTGACTTGGGTGCTGCCGAGGCGGAGCTCCGTCAAGCTGGAGTTCGCCAACATGGCCAGGTCCCCCTGAACCTGTGTGTGCCTAGGGACAAGGCGGAAAAAGAAGCGAGGGCCTCCCACGTTGCCATGGAACCTGTGAAGAAAGCGGCCCTTTCAAAAGGAAATTGATCTTCCGGGTACCCTCCCTTTGTGACAGCAAAGGTCGCATATGATGCTTGAAGCTGGGCTGCAATGCAGGGCCAAAGCACTGAGCATCTGCATCTTTCTTGCGCCACGATCCACCCTCCCCCCCCCCCTCACGGGCGAGGCCTCCAAGAAAAGCTGACCTGCAACCCCCCTTTTTCAGCTGTATGGGGGCTCTTGCAAGTGTGGTCTGGGAATCAACCCCAAAATGCCGAGATGCGTTCTCTCAGACCGAGCGACGCATTCGAACCCCAAGGCGAGGAAAAAAAAAAAAACGACGCCAGGCATTCTGGGCCTTTCTTGGGTCCCGCCCGCCTGAGGTCCAGCGTCCGCAGGCATCTCGCATTTTGGAAGGCGCTCAGGTCCCCTTCTACCTGGAAAAATTGGACGAAACGTTGGCTATGTTCGGTTCCAGGACAGTTCTGAGTCATCCACTTTCAGCTTGAAGAGTAAGCTCCCTTCACCTTAGATTACCTGATGCTTCTGGGTTTCTGGGCGGCAACAGCCTAGCTTGCGTCACTTTTCACTTGTTCGGTGTCGATCATGTTTCCCTCGCCCCAAAATCTGACGAAGAACTAAACGATGTCTTGCCACAGCTGTTTCAATCAAGGGGACCGTTCCCCCCTACCTGCCCTTACCGGATAACTAACACGTGATACCAGTCACCTCGAACACAAAGCCAGGAAAAGAACTGGATGTGTTGGCCTAAGCAGCCCCAGTCGGCCTAAACAAGATATCTCGGCCCCGGTCAATCCGGCCAGTCCCAAATCCCCAACTTGCATGTTCAAGCCGCTCACCGCTCAGTAGGATACAACTTCATGTTCAGCGGACTAACCCCGGTTTCTTCATGCCAACGAGTTGTTTCCCACTCGTCGAGCTGGAAATTTAATGAGAATGAAGGAAACCTGGAAGGGCCTTTCAGTGCTGGTTCCCTATTCAATTTGTTGCACCAGTTTACAACCAATGTGGGGTGCAACTGAATGGGAGTGGGGAAGCCCGAATAGGATGTTCAGCCTTGGAAAGCCGGGATGGCTCGAACTCGTCTCTTTATGCAGTGACCATAGTCATAACAGGGATGTTTTGCACAACTTTCTTAAGAAACCAGACTCGATGCGGCCCTGTCAGGGAAATCAAGTGGTGGGTGTAAACAAGAGGCTTTCAAACACAAGTGGTTGGTTGCCTGAATCACCGAATTCTGGTGTCCACCAGAAAGTCCCCGATTAAAACTCACAGCATGGGCTGCTTCTGTCTCTGCTACGCCCCTATTTGAAAAGAACTCCCAGAGAGGAAAACCCCTTCTTCTCCCATTATTTTTGCGGGGGGAATCCCAGTCCACCCCACGGTTTCAGCCCCCCAACCCCCCCCCCCCCCCCCGCGTTTTCCCAGACGCGTGGAAATCCCTCGGCTCCCCCTCGGAATCCTACATTAATACAAACATGTAATACACCACAATCACGATATTCGTTTGGAATGATTATATACAATGATTATTTGATTATACATGGTGGTAAACATGCTGTAAAACAAAAAGAATGAATATTTTTATGTGGTATATATTGTATTAAATTAAAACATATTATTGATAATAATAAAGGTACGATTATTAAAGGGGAAGGAATATGAGAAAGGACCTGATGTAGATTGAGTGGGTGAGTGTACATCCTGGAAGCACTTGGAAGCCATGCAATCATCTCTTTCTCTTTATCTTTGTGTTTGGGAATTCCTGACGTGACCATGAGATGAAGATAAGGATGAAGAAATGAGAGATGGATAATGCCGCACGGTCCCAAAGCCTTGAATTAGCAGTCACTCCGGAAGTTGTATGACATGGATAGAGGAAATAACAGACCAGACGGTATAATCTCATCCTATAGCCAAGCCTCTGGATTCTCCAGGTCATGCCACACGGTTAAACCTCATTCATTTCCTGCATTTGGACAAGTCTCTGGATTATTGATGAGAATAGATGCTGAGAAAGGACTTGTCCACCTATCTACATCCCAACCCTTCGTTCATTCCTGGTAAGCCGTCCTTCCACTCCGTCTCTTGACCAGTCATTAATCTCAGGATCCACAACATAGAGAAAAGAGGGATGAAAGCAAAGCAAAGAGAAATCTCATGAATTAATGCCTCAGGAACTTATCTGTGTTCTCCCTCCATTCGTTTCACCACTTTATGTTGTTGGATTTCTTATCTCTAAGTCCTGTAAGTTATTCTTGGAATTAATGTGTGATGAATGAAAAGATAATGACAGCTGAGAGACAAGAAAAAGAAAAGCAATTATTCTAAGCCTTACATTCCAACCCTTTAATCTCAGCTATTAATATGTTCCTTTATTATTTTCATGTTGTAAAGACTCAGGAATTAATAGCAAAGAGAAGGAAAAGGAAATAACATCAGATTATTAACTCCGAGAATAGACTAGACAAGAGAATGAATCCCAACATTAGCTCCAACATGATATCTTCGCTCTCTTTCTCACTTCAATATCCTACTTTTGGAGAATTCATGTGATGAAGATAGGAAAGAGATAGTAATAAAAGCATTTGGAAATACAATATGAATCAGCTATTTACTTTCCTAACACCAATGAATGAAAAAGAAAGGTATAATGCGAGCGGAGAGAGATGTAATCCTATGTGTCTTTCCATATCCCGCATCTTAAAGGATTTTGATGGAGATCCTGCCCCTCGGCTCCCCAGCTCCCGGCTCGACCGAATTCGCGCCTGGGAGGCCGCGGCCCTGAGCTGCATGAGCCGCTCCAGGGCCAAGCTCCGCACGGAGCCGAAGACCGCGGTGCGGTCCAGCTCCAGGATCTTCAGCGCGCCCAGCCGCTTCAGGTCACCTGAAGCGAAGGAGAAGCGGAGAAGGGAGGGCTTAAGGGCATAGCGGGGGGAGGTCCGGGATTTGGAGGGGGAAGGGGAGGGAAGGGGAAAAAGGGGAGGGGGGGAAGGGAGGGGAAGGGAGGGGAAGGGGGGAAGGGAGGGGAAGGGGGGAAGGGAGGGGAAAAGGAAAGGGGGGATGGGCATCAAAATGGTGGCCATTTCTTTGGGAAGGTGGCCATGGAAAAAGTGAGGCAGGCTGTACCGCCACATAAAATGCGGCCCGCCGACAAAAAAAGAAAAACTGCCCAAAACCACTGCGGGAAATGAGGGCGTCATTTTTTTTGAAGGTGAAACTCAACGAAAAAGCGTCCAAGGCCGGTGGTTCAAACAGGGAGCCAAAGCAAACCATGCGCTACTTCCGCCGAGGGGGGAAAGCAGTCCAGACCCTGCTCGCCGAGGCAGTCCTCCATGACCCAACCCATCTCCTGCTTGCACCCACCCAATCAAACTAGGTCTTGGCATCTGCAAAGCGCACCTTGAACCCTGGCTCCATTGAGGCGCAGGTCTGTCAGTCTCGGCAGCGCGCGGGCAAAGCCCAGATCGCCTCAGTCTCCAGCTGGCTGCAACCCTCTCGGGCAAACCCGTTCCCCCCGTCTTTTCACCACACCCCAGCGCTTGAGCGAGCGCCACGGGTTGCACTCCTCAAAACGCGGCTCTCGGCCCCTCGCGGCTCGCCTTCCACCAGAGTGCCAGACAAATCCAGCTTCGTGAGCCAGGGCAAGGAGTGCAGCACCTCCACGCCGCCTCGCAGCAACCCGCCGGGAAAACGAAAACGGGCCGGCCGCGATCTCAGAAACTCACCAGCACCCCTCAGGAACTCACCAGCCGCCCTCTGGCTCAGACTGTCTGATCACAGGCCTGTCACCCCACCCGACAGCACCAGCTTCCGCAGGCCCGTCAGCTTTGAGATCTCCTCTGGCAAGCGGCCGGCGGCCCTCTTCAGCTGGATCCCCCGTGCCTCCGGAAAGCGAAATGCAGGGCAGCTCGCAAGATGTCCTTCAATCTGCTGGGAAAAACATGGGAGACGACGACCAACCCACAGCTTCCCACAATGATCACTGATTGTACGTCCGGGGATAAGCCCAAGTTAGAGAAAGCCAGCGCGGATGGCTTGTGTCCCTTTAAATTAGCTTCTTAGAAACACCCAAATGAGTCCGATGTGTGGATTCGACCACGTGGGGTCCAGAAATGTGCACATGTGGGTTGATAACAATATAACAAAATGCCTTTAGATGTTTGTTGAAAAACATGCGGCATCTCAATAAACAAGATCAGAACGATCATGGGGGATGATCCACCCAAGACGCGTCAGCACATAGCAAAGAGCCTCGAGTCAAGGACAAATCCAGAGCACGAACAAACGCAACACGAAGGGTCGCGGTTGTACAATACAATGCTTCAAAAGCACAAGCAGTTTGTTACTGACCGACACTCGCACGGTCGTGGTGAATCCCATGTGAGTGATTCCCCTGACAATCTGATGACTCGAAAGCAAACTTCTCAGTAACTCGGAAAGTACTTCCCGCACAAAGCCAATTCCCCGCAACCAGCATTCACCTGGATATAAGGAAATGCTCATGGAATGTTCGTCATGGAGCTGGTTTCACCTGTGAGCACATTAAACTTCTGCTCTGGTTCTTGCTGCACATAGGACTCTCAGCGGCCAGTGTGCCTGGCACGTGCGCTTGTCCCAGTCAATGCCACGTACTTTGCTGAGGTCTCCTGAGCATTCCACACATGCAAGCTGTCAATCTGGGCTTTGACTGGGCAATAGATTTAAAAACATAGATATGTGGACAAGGGTCCCTCCACTTCTGCTGGGCTGGCAAAAAATGCAACACTCCCAAGCAATGCTCTCTTATGTCAACCAAAGAACTGCTGATCGCACCTTTGTTTTTCGTTTCCCCAGCGCTGTGCCCTGCCTTGCAAGTCCTCAGGCTGCAGCCCCAACTTACCCAGCACCGTGCGAAGGGTGGTGGCCTCTGATGTGTTGCTGCCTCAGCAGAAGTGGATATCCGAGACTCCAGTTGACTGGCCTTGACCAAAAGCCATGCGAGGATTTCCTTGCACAAGATTCTAACTGGCCAGCAAGTCCTACGACAAGTTCATTGTTTGCAAACTGAACAATACACCATGGCTGTCCAAAGCCGGCGAGGCGTTCTCTTCAGAACCCACGCCACTCAGCAGTGCACATGAATCGCAAAAGCCTCAAGCCCGGAGTCCCGGAGACCGCAAGATGGGTGTTCTATGTGTTGTGTGTTATTGTTACTTTTTATGCGTGTTTGTTTGTTCTTGTGGTTTCGGTGTGTTGTTTTCTTTGGGGGGGGGGGGGGAATGAGCTTTCCTCTAAAACAAACACAAAAAGGGTGTACCCTCCAACAACGGCCAGATCAACGCCACAGCCCATCTGGCCCAAGGCATCCAAAGCGCAGTCCTTCGCCTGGTGCTTGGGTTGCAACTCCTGGGCGAACCCAAAGCGCCATCCAAGCACCTTTTCAGCCCCTCCTTCGGCTTGATTAGGACGGCGCAAAGCCTGTACATTCATCAGCACCAAATGAAGGCTACAGTCAAACAGCATCTTTTCTGCCCAGGTCTGTCTTGGGCGGTGAAAGTCGACAATTGCTGTTTGGGAGAAGAAAAAACAACTCACCCCGCAGGAAAGATTCTGAACCAATCTTCTGATCAAAGATTCAGCCTTTGCGGGAGGAAAGCACATGAGTGCTTCTCAAAAAACAAGACACACAAAAGTCATTTGCTCTCTCACAAACCTTTCAATCCCAAAAGAGGTCTCTGATGTGGTCCCCACTTGGTGCAAGGCTCATTTGCTCTGAGGTCGTGCTCCCAAGTCCTTTCCGCCCCACAGAGCAGACACAAGTAAAAGCCATAGAGCAAGGACATGGAACCCCCTATCCGTCGACTCGCGGAAACGGTAGCGTTTTTTTGTGTGGGAATGCGGTTGGCCATCTTCTTGTTGCTTGGCCGTCTTCTTGCTGCGTGGCCATGATTTGATGGTTTGCCTCTTTCGCCATCTGTTTCTGTCGACTACTGAGGGAGTCGCGACGGTTCAGCGGAAGAGTGGATCTGAATTGCGAACACAACGAAAGCTCGTGGCGGCGGTCAAGTGCAAACGCTGTCCAATGTTTGAAATATCATAAATTGATCTGAAATGTATAATTTGGTTTAAACACAAAGATCATATATTGCATAAACATCCAGGAATTTTTGAAAAAGACCCGCCAACATGTGCAGGCCAACATGTGCAGGCCAACATGTGCAGGCAACTTGACATGCGGCCACATGTTTGGGCTGCCCTCTCCACGCGCCCAAAAAAATCCACGCGCACGAATCGGTTGGTTTGCGCTCGGAACTGCCTAACCACATGTCCAGAAACGCCCTGTTCTCGGATTCATGCTTGATAAGGGCGTCACTCAAGCATTGGATTTTGTCATGTCTCCACGGCCACTATTCTGTGTACGCGGATGGTCTGCGCGCGTCAACAAATACAGCGAAGTGGCGCTTCAGAACACCATCGACCGCTCTTTTGCAAAGAACGGCCCAACGAGCATAGACAGGGCCGGACTGGACACGCAAGCGGGAGCGGCAACACGGCAAAGGTGAAGGTAGCGAGCAAGAGTGATGGTAACATCATACGCAAGGCAGCAAGCTTGTTGATGCCCAGCAAGTTACACAATGGGGATAAACCAATCTGATTCTGGGCCCGTGGCCTCCAGGGTGGAAGGCGGAATTCCGCCAAGTAAACCGCCACGCATGCCAAGAACTAGACTGTTAAGGCCTAGTGCACTGCTTCTAGCCTCAACACCTTTTTGTTGGGTTGCTTTGAAGGTCGCACTTGCCCAGGGCACAGCGGTGCACCTGGGGATAGGGGCGAGGATATTCCCCGGGTCCCCTGGCCCTGTTGAAAAAAGGCAGCTGCCTTAGCCTTTAGCAGATTGACTCAAAGGCGTCTGAGAATCCGTCTGCAGTGCAGAAGCCTTGCCTAAGGCTTGAAGAGGGTTGGGACGACGGTGGGTTTCAAGAAGAAATAAGGACTGCTAGTCCTTTTGTGTGAGTTCGAATGCTAGGGGCTTAAAACGGCAGCGGCGTAATGAGGTTCACACTAGGCCTAAAACCACAAGGGAAAAGAAAACCCTAAGCGTCCGTGCAGCTCTCGAGGACGCAAAAACGATTGGGCCGAATCCACGCTCTGCCGCCATCTTGCGAAGCTTCAGCAGCGCGACGCAAACGCAGAGCTGCGCTGTGTGCCAATAACCTATGTTTCAAAGCTGCTGTAAGCCAGGACCAAAGCGGAGCGGCAACCACAAAATGTGTCTGCGACTTGTACAGGCTTTCGCTTCCGGATGTGTGGGAAGCTGCGCGCTCACGCTCGAGCGCCCAATGCAAGAGGGCCGCAATCGAAAACATGTCCAAAGCGGATGAACCACACGAGAACCTCCTTTGCAACACGATGCTATGCGCTGAACAACTGCCAGCGACATACCCGAGGCTCAAGAAACATGACAAAGGAGGCCAGCCTGCCCTGCATACCAAGAACTGCAGTGGATTTTTTGCACCTCAGAGTCAGAAAACGCCACTACCCAAGCGGCAGCTAAGCCGGGTTGCTGACAAAAGTGGCCCAACCAGAGAATCAAGCAGCTGACAAACAAAAGGAAAAAGGAAGCAAAGTCAAGCTCGAACTCTGACACTTGCGGGGGGAAGGGGGAAGAACCCCCGCTCTCCAACCTGGTTTGAACCTGGCCTGGGCAAAAACCTGGGTCCAACCCAAGTTCCAACCACGGTTCTGACATTCATGGACAGCCCTGCCTGAAAGGCTGCCGTTTTTGCTCGTGGCCTTGAAGTCCACTCACTGAAGCAATCTCAGCGTGGTTCCGGTACCCTCAACTAAAAGCACACCTAGGTGGCGGTGCTCGAAAAGATCGGGTGCCACAAAAAACAAATTTCAATTAGGAAAGATAGCCAGGCTGCAACCTACTACTACTACTACTACTACTACTACTACTACTACTACTACTACTACTACTACTACTACTACTACTACTACTACTACTACTATCACTACTACTACTACTACTACTACTACTGCTACTACTGCTACTGCTACTACTACTACTACTACTACTACTACTACTACTACTACTACTACTACTACCAGTAGAGCCGGCGAAGCCGGTGGGCGGAAGTTTCAAAAATACAAAAACTACAGTTCTCTTTATCTTTCTTTTCTTGACTCTTTTTCTTTTCTTCTTCCTTTTCGCAACTGGGGCTTGAAAATCGCAACTTTTAAGTACGAAAGTCGTACGCGAAGTCACACTTTCGCAGCCTTTTAAGTACGAAAGTAGTACGCGAAGTCCACTTTCACAGCTGGGGCTCGAAAATCGCAACTTTTAAGTACGAAAGTAGTACGCGAAGTCCACTTTCGCAGCTGGGGCTTGAAAATCGCAACTTTTAAGTGCGAAAGTAGTACGTAAAGTCCACTTGCGAAAATTGCAACTTTTAAGTACGAAAGTAGTACTTTTAAGTACGGAAGTAGTACGTGAAGCCCACTTCCGCAGCTGCTGGAAAATCACGACTTTTAAGTACGAAAGTAGTACGTGAAGTCCAATCGCAACTTTTAAGTACAAAAGTAGTACGCGAAGTCAACTTTCGGGGCTTGAAAATCGCAACTTTTAAGTGCAGGATATGGATGGATAGATAGATAGATCGATAGACAGATAGAAAGATAGCTAGAGAGATGAATAGAAAGCGAGATAGAGAAAGAGATAGATAAACAAATAAATAGATAATAGACACAGAGAGAGAGATAGATAGATGGGCAGCTGGAAGGCGGTTGCATATGATTTGCCTGACGCGCGACCTCAAACCAGCACCTTTCAACACTGATCTCCCAGTGGTTAAGGCCATAGAGGATGAGACGGAGAGGCCGTGGCAGCTTCTGCGCGCAAGGCCCGACTGCCTGCAGGGGCCCTGTGTCCAAATTTGGCTGCCAAGTATACGCAACATGAACAAGCCCGCCACCAGCAAGAACACGAGAGACATATGCCGACGAAGAAGGCCGATGACGTGGGTGCTGGGCGACCCAACCCGCAACAAGTTCCCATGAAGCGAGTGGGACTTCGATGAGGTCCAAAGCACACTTAGCATCAACAGCGGCCTCAAGGATAGCTCCAATCGAGTTCAAGAGTGAAATAGGGAGCACAGGGCGTTCGGTGGCAGAACTCCCACGCTGGGCTGCCGCCCGTGCAATGCCGGCAAGGTGATCAGCAATCTTGTTGGCTTCCCGAGGGAGATGGAGATACTGGATGGCGCGGATTCGGTGTGACACGAAAGTACGTAGATGGCTGAGCACTTGAACAATATCCGACCGCTTGGAGCGCCCTTCGTATCTCATAAATTGCAAATGCTGCAAGATATCGCCCTGCACAACCAGCTGACCGGTACCCAGCCCTCCAAGATGTGCGCTAGGGTGGCCCGGAGTCCTGCGTCCAGGCCAATAGTTTCAGCAACACCCCAATCGACCGCGGCCATGCTGTCAGCTCCTACCTGGTATAGCACCCACCCCCCGCCACCAGCCAGCCCATCACGCTGCCCTGAGCCGTCAAACTGCAGGAGCCACGCTGAATCACCAGAGTGCCATAAACCACAACGAACTTGCGCCCCCGCAGGAATGGCTTGGGTGGCCACAGCGCGTGTGTGAACCTCCCCACAATGGCATTCCTCAACTTGAAGCTCAGCATTAGCAGTGCCCCAAACAGCATCATGCTGCTGCATCATCAGCATAAGGACCGGATCACGGGTCCCTCCAACAGCAAGGGTTTGGCCGGCAATGACATCAACCGTGGTAGCGACAAGCCTACGGGGGCAGGCAAGCGCCGCGGCAAGGGCCAGGGGCATCGGTGCGATGACCTCAACAACTCTGTCGGCCAGACATCCTTTCTCAGGCCGATCAGCTGTAACGCCGAGTGCCTGGCAGTGAATGGGGTGAAGGTCGGACCGAACAAGCTCTGCAATGTTGGCAACGGTCTGATGGACGTCGGCAGTAGCAACAATAAGGCTGTGTGCCATGCCGCCTTTCTCAATAACATGTCTCCGCATATGAAACAAGATGTGGACACCAACTGAGAAGGCTGCAACCTCCTCGGAGCAACAACTCGCAATGCTAAAAAATTGCCACTGCTTGCCAACAACGAGCTGTCCAACCAGAAAGAAAACAGGACACCAACGTAGCAGTGCGATGTATCCTGGCCCACGCGTACCCTAGGACGAGCAGCAGGGAAGATAAACTGGTTGGCATGGTGCCATGCTTCCGGACAGCAATCAGCAAGCCAGTCGTACTCAGGCAACAGCGCAGCCAAGAGCACATTGCCAGGGAGATGCGCATCTCAAAAACGCAAGTTGAACTTTGAAATGTTGCGAAGCTTCAAGAGGGACACATTCTAAGGCCTCGGACGGTCGGGGCCCAGTTTTTTTGTTTTTAAAGTTTGGACTGGTAGACTTTTCCTTTTGAAGTTCTATTCAAACAGCTATCAATTCGAAAGCTTTTGCTTCCGGGCTTGGGCTGGCGGACTGTTCCTTCTAAAGTTCCATTTCCAGGTCTGGGCTAGCGGACATTTCCTTTTAAAGTTCTATTTGAAAAGCTATCAATTTGAAAGCTTTTTCAAAGTTCTATTTGAAAAGCTATCGGTCTGGGCTGTAGACTTTTCCTTTTAAAGTTCTATTTGTTTGCAACTCGGCTCCCGTTTTGTGCGACAGTTTCAGAGATCCATTAGTTCCCCAAACGCGGAACTAATGATCCTTCGCGACTGGATAGAAGTCGAACCCCAAGGGTAGGTCCGGCCAACACGTCCACATCCGCAACAGCAGAAGTCATTGCGCGCGCACTCCGCAAAATGGGACTTGTACTGCATCCATGCATCATCATCC